TTTCTTTCCAAGACATGAGGCAAAGGGACTTGGATCATACTCTGTAGGATGTCTTACCTAGGGTAACTGTATCTGCACTCTAAGGGCATTTGAATAAAGCATGTGACTTTCATATGACTTTTGCGGTCAACGTTAAAGCCATATCTCATTTACTCAATGAATGAGAGAAATGGTGAAGGGGTGAATTGAAGAGTTTAAGGAATATTAATGAGAGTAAATAAATTCAATTATCTCAGCACAGTAATGAGGTGAAGTACTAGTGTTTGGAGGTTCCAAGTTCAAAATCCACCAGTGAAATTGGGCCCATGTGGGTATTTAAGTCCTTAGCACCAGCTGTAGCAGGAGGGGGCAGAAAAAAAAACATGTTTGTAAGATAGGAATTACTACCTATACAGAGCAGCTCGGACAAAAAAGAAAGCTTCTTGTTTCCGTCATCAGAAAATTATACGTATTAAAAATACAATCTCATTTTCTTCTTTCTAAATTAACTTTTCACTGTTTCTCTTTAAAACTTTTAAACTCTATAAGCAAAACCTATTCTAAATGTTTCCTATAAGTAGATACTAAGAAAAAAGAAATAGATGCTGTTTAATTAAAGTAACTTTCAAATCAGAATCTTGTTGTTTTGTGAACCAACCCTCAGCTAACCCGCAGCAGGTTTTCAGAGGAAGTTAACTGCATCTTCTTCCTTGGAGCAGCTGGTAGATTTATACCGTCAGCCTTCAGGGAAATTTCCTGATAAATGTGAACTAACCGTGACTTGATGGAAATCAACAACAACAGTGGAATAGCTTAGATCCTTTCCAAAAAGGAAGGAAATTAAGAAATGTGTGAAAACACCACCAAAATTCCAATAAATTGTAAGTCCTTCATGCAGAGACGCCAAAGGAAAAGTGGATGGACCACAGTACCCAAAAACACCAAAAAAAGAAACATGACAAAATGGCAATGGTAAAAACTAGCCTGACAATAGTCTCCTTTCATGTGAATGGATCAATTTACCAATTGAGAGAAAAAGAGTAAAGAATGTATAAAACAACAAAGCCCATCAACATGTTGCCAATGAAAGACACATCTAAAAAAAAAAAAAAAGTCAGACTCAAATTCAATGGCTGAAAAAAAAAATATACCAAACAAATAGCAACTTCAAAAAAACAGTATTTCTGAATGAAAACCAACACAAAAAAAATTATGAAGGGCATTACATAATGATTAAAGGCACAATAAATCAAGAAAACATAACCTTGATCAACATTTATGTACCAAATGATAGACTTACAAAATACATAAAAATAACTGTTAACAGAATAGAAGAAGGAAGGAGACAGTCCCACAAGAGTGGGAGGTGACGTCAACACACCACTCTCATCAAGGGATAAGGCAATGCAGAAGATCTAAACTCGACCTTGTGGATGTATTTCACGGTACTGTATCCAATTAAAACTCAATTGACTTCCTTCTCAAATGCACCTACTTGTCTTTCCCTAATTATGCAAGGCATTTGATTGTAGGGATAATAATAAATTAAACCAGCAACCAGAAAATAAAGACACAGATTGCTGGGATGACTGCTGTCAAGGCCCTCTCCAAATTGATGCAAAGCAATAAAGTCAGTTCGAACACGAAGGTGCACTTGATTCAAATAAATTACCTTTTATGTAGCTGAAAGCTGGATAATGAAAAAATGTGACAGAAGAACTGATGCCTTTGAGTTGTGGTGTTGGAGAAGAGTGCTGAATATCCCAAGGACTACAATGGGACAAACAACCATGTCTCAGTAAAGGTGGAAGAAGGTGCCCCCGGAGGCATGGATAGTGAAATACAGTCTCATATACGCTGAGAATGTTGTTAGGACAGGCCTGTCCTTGGAAAAGCTGGAGGGGTTAGTGAAGGAAGGGAAGACCCTCGAAAACATGGACTGACATAGTACCAAGCAGAGGCGCCTGGGCCCGCCTCATATAGAGGCTCTGTCTAACAAGGATGAGGAACAGAAGCAGAGAATTCAGTATAGGAATTTATGTCACAGTTTTCAAAGAAAATTTAAACAGTTCAATAAAACAACCAACTCAGGAGGCCTTCACATAGGATTTGACACATTCAGTCCGAATATTATAGAATGCCACTGTTATAAAACAGAACTGACATGGGGGCTGGGGGAAACTAAGAAAAGCGGAGATAAAACCAAACACTGCATTGGAACATATGAAGGAAAGAACTGTTTAAAAGGAATATATGATTAGGCATTCTTTGTATAATAGTCCAGAATACGGGGAGGGGTGGTAGGAGGGGAGAAAATTAAACAACAGTGAACGAACTAAAAAATTCAAATTTTCTATTAACTTTTGTTCTGCTCACAATAAAACTATCAAAGGGGGGGGGAAGATCTTGCAGAAAAATAGGAACAGGTGCCTATGGCTTATTTAGCCTTATTTCTGAGAACTCTGGTGTCCCAGTCGGCAGTGATGTTAAACGAAGTCCACCTTACACTGGTGGTTCAAATCCAGCAGCAGCATCAGGAGAGAAAGCTAAGCATCCTCCTCTCATTGTGAGAGGCTTAGAAACCAAATGCAATGTTGTTGTGAGTCAGTCAAAAGCGGCCGTAAGGTTGCACTTTAGTGAAAGGAGCCACGGTGGAACAGTGGGTTTTGCGATCTGCTAACAATCCTCAACTTGGGAGAAAGGCAAAGCAATCCATCCTAGCCTAAGGAACACCATGAATAGCAGCGAGGAGTCAGAACCCACACAACATTCTGGTTTCTGGATTTTTAACACAAGGAATGACTGAAGCCTTTTCCACCATTTCAAAGCGATGCTATGGATGGAGTAAGAGAAGGTGATTGTGTTAAGAATCTGTAGTATACAAGCACTGGAACAATATTTAAAGGAGAGAGCAAATTTATTTAATGAAGAAAAACCATCTCGTGATCTTACCATGTTCCTTTGCTCTTTCATGGTAATACTTGTTTTACTTTTTTTTTTTTTTAAAGTGTTCTTCCTGATTACTGACACTTCTCAGTGTGACTGTGGAACACAATGTGGCTGAAGACGACGGTCAGTCCTCATTTTACAACTCAAAAGCATTTGGCACACAAGATCAGTCTCCTCTCGATAGGCTTTCCGCACATGGCCTTGGCAACACCAGTCTACGTTGCTTCCTGCCTGCGAGGTCATGGCTTCCAAGTTTCCTTGGCTTATTCCTCTTCCTTTACACAATCTAGTCCCTCTGTTCTCCATCCGGTGGTCACATTCTTTTCTCCGCTCACTATCCTAGAGCTCTTACCCAGTTTTACATCTGACAATTAAGTATATCCAGCCCTATCATTTTGCTAGAACTCCAGGCTTATACATCCGTTTGAAATTTCCACATTGAAATCTAATATAGAAAACCCGAAATGTCCAAAAGTATATTCCCACAATATTCCCTTCCTCAGCTAAAATTAGCACAGTTAGATGTACTCAGACATCAAAGCGTTTTTATATTCTATTCTGAACCTGGAGAGAGGATGATGCCTATGACTCGACGGCACTTAATAACAACAACAACAACAACTTCAAAATGTATTTTGTCAAAACAACTATACCATCTCACCCCAGCAATAGCAACGTTCCACAGAGGAGTAAACAAAAACTGTTGAGGGGATTGTAGAGAGATGGGAACCATTTTTCACTGGGAGGGTGAAATGGTACAGGGAGTCTAGTGCTTTCCCAAAAAATTGGAAACAGAAATACCATTTGACCCAGCAATTCCACTACTGGGAATATATGCCAAGGAAACCATAAAAGCCGCCAAAGCATATTTTATATTTTATAGTGGCTTTCTTCACAATAGTCAAGAGTTGGAAACAACTACTCTCAACTGCTCTGATCTTTTTCTTTTGTCACAGTTCCTGCTGTCTTCTAGCATGCGTGATAATTCATGTATTGTTTAATATTGCATTGTCTGCTCAGCCAACATGAGAGTATATACTTAAGGAGGGCAAGGATCTTTCCTAAGTCTAGATACATAGAATAGTGCATGAACAGGAAACGGGTTCAGTAATTATTACCTGAATGAAAATGAACCTTGGCTTTTATCAGGTAATGTATCTGGATGACAGAAATTAAACACAGCCACATTTTCAGAGGTTCATTTCACTTATCTAATTTTGTATGTTGTTGTTACGTGTCGTCAAGTCGACTCATAGTAACCCTATGAACGAAAGACCTAAACAATTGTATAACTTTCATCGTTTGTCCAAGTTCACTGAATTTCCGGAAGCAAGCTTCTTCGGAAGTGGATGCCACTCCTGCTTCCAAGCTTGTTTAAATCGGGGAGCGCCAGCAAAATTTCCAAAATCAAAGAGGTATTTTCTGTGTAATTAAATGTAAACTCTTTTGAGTTGTTTAAGAAACTATATGCTATACAAGAAGATTCACTCAATCCATTGCCATCAGGTTGAATCAATTCATTAGGCTTCCAAAGCTGTAATTCACATGAGAGATTTTTTTTCCCCTTGGGAGCCAATGGTGGATTCAAATCAGGCCACTCTCTACAGGGAGTAGCAGAACAACTTCATATAGGCAAGGTCACTCAGTTTACAGTTGGTAACTGAATAATAATTGCCTTCAATTCTGGTTTCCAGCTTCTACATCTTTAAAACAAAGGGATCCCATAGAAAACTTATACCTTCTGTAACTTACAAGTTCAAATATCCAGGTATAAAATTATGATGAATCCTTTCCATCCTTAAGTATTAACTTCACGTTTGATTTCTCTCAGATAATTAGACTTTGTGTGCAATGATTTCATGCTCACTTTCTCATTTCTAAGATTTGATCTAGAACTTGTTTCTATAACTTTCTTTATAGAACTTGTATGAGTGTTTTAATTTTGCTAATATTCTATGACAGGTATACTCCTTTGACAGAAAACTGTTTTGTGAGGCTTATCCCCTTAAACAGCTGAAAAGCTGATATTGGCCTATTGACTTGAACTTCATGAACCAGTGAAGAGGACTTACCATGGCCTTTTTATCTTCCTGGAAGTGCACATCCACAAACATTTTTCCAACAACATAAGGTAGGGCGCTTTCAATAAAGTTGACACATTTGTCCCACTGAGGCAACAAAGTTGTGGTTCCCTGGATTACCTATAGCAAACAATTCATCCAGAATGAGTTTCACTTGGAAGAAAACCTTGCGCAAAAGAAAATTCACATAATCTGAAGAGATTAGTCTATAAAACATTGCACCTATTTGACTATATCACAACCTATGATGTACCTACTTGAGATCATGGAGTCAAAGATGAAAATATTTTGACTTGAACATGGTATAATTCTCCTGTTCTTGCAATCAGTAAACAGATCTTAATACTCTAGAGACGTAAGGCAGCTGCCAAGGGGGGACAGGGGAAATGGTATACCAATGAAGGAATTTTTCTTTTCAGAGAGGGGAGCGAACTGGGGGGGGGGGGTGTTGGGCAGGGAGTAATGCTAAAGTTTCAGCAGGAATGGAAATGAACAGATGATCAAATGGAGATTCTTTGCTCTGAGCAGTACACTCTCCTAAAGCGGTTCAAGAGGATCCATTTGAACGAGATGCTATTTAACTGTGTGCCACAGCGAAAAACAAACTGGAAACCATGTAAAATACAAAATGTAAAGACTAGTCCCATCTATCTAGAAAAAAACGTGTTGGGGCAGTAGGGGAAGGAAATCTGCAAACAAGTGAACAGGTCCGAAAGTAGGACTTAGAAGGCTCAAAAGTCAGAGTAATAAATATATTTTAAGGTGTCCTCAGTGGATTCTGCAGGTGTGCGAAGAAAGGAAAGGGGCCTGGAGGTACAGAACTGAAGGTAGGCAGTGACAATAATGACCCCTGCATGGTGGCTCAAGGAGACTCTGCATAAATTTTAGAGTGAGGTCATTTTGTTGGGAGTAAAATTCATCTACTGTTCCTCTACTTTTCTTAGTAGCTGAAGCCCTCTCCAACCTAAGAAATAAATTTATTTTTAAACCTTCAAGAGAAAGAGCTTCCACAATCTTCTTTGGCAATTGAATAATACTGAATATTGTATTTTGCTCTTCACAAGAAACATCTCCTTCTACCTAACCTCAAATTTTCGCAAATGAATCCTTACACCCCTTTCTTTCTCATCCCAATTACCCTAGTCACGGAATCAATCAACTTCATAGAGGGTCTTCCCTTCCTATACTGTCTCTTCACCCTCCCAAGTATGATGCCCAACTCCTTACAACATGTCCCTCCTTACAACATGTCCAAAGTATGTCAGACAAAGCCCAGAACCCTTCCCTCTAGGGAGCAGCCTGGTTTAATCCTCTCCATGTTAAATAAATCTGTTTGTTTTCTTGGCAGTCCATTGTATATTCAATACTCTTCTCCAGCACCACAGTTCAAAGGCATCAATTCACCTTCTATCTTCCATAGTCATTGTCCAACTCTCTGATGCATAAGAAGTGATTGCAAAGACCATGGCCTGTATCAAACGCACCTTAGTCTCCAGAGAAACACCATTGCTCTTCAGTACCTTGAGTAGGTCCTAACAGCAGACTTTTCCATCCCCATACGTTTTTGTATTTCCTCCCTGCTGGTGCCGAGAGTGTTGACTGTGGAGCCAAGCAAACTAAAGCTGTGAACAATCTCAATCTCTTCACCATCTATCCCGATGCTTTCACTTGGAGCAGTAGTCAGAATCTTTGTCTTCTTGACACTGAGCCTCAATTCATATTAAAGGCTACAATCCTTGACCTTCTGCAGCAAGGGCTTCAGGTCTTCAATTTCAACAAACAGGGTTGCGTCATTTGCATTACACAGATTGTTGATAGATCTTCCACTAATCCTGATGCTGCATTTCTCCTCATAGAGCCCAGCCTCCCGGATGATCTGTTCTGCATACAGGTAGAAAAGGTATGGAGACAGGACACATCTTGGGCGTACGCCCTCTCCAATTCTGAACCATACAGTGTTTCCCTGCTCTGTTCTGAGGACTGCGTCCTGGTCCAAGTATAGGTTTCGCATTAGAACGATCAAGTGTTCTGGGTTTTCCATTCTTCTCAGAGTCAGCCACAGTTTGTTATGATCCGCACAGTCAAGCCCCTTTGCACAGACAATGAAACACAGATAGACATTCCTCTGGCATTCTCTGCTTTCAGCTAAGATCCATCTAACATTTGCTACAATATCCCTAGTACCACGACCCCTTCTAAACCCAGCCTGGACTTCTGGCAGTTCTCTGCTGATGGGCTGTTCCAGTCGTTTTTGGATAATCTTCAGTAGAATCTTGCTTGCTTGTGAAATCAATGAGATTGTTCTAAAGTTTCGACACTTTGTTGGGTCACCCTTCATTAGAATGGGAACAAATATCGATCTCTTCCAGTCAGTTGGCCAAGTGGTTGTTTTCCAGATTTCTTGGAACAACTTGGTGAGTAAGTCCAGGGCAGCATACACACAGAAACACACACACACACACACACACACACACACACACACACACACACACTAAATCGATTTTTTTTTACTTCAGTTTGATATAACCTGTATATGTGTGTGTGTACATATACATATATAGTCATTTTCTCAGTGACTTTATAGGGTCAAAATGTATTTTAAATGACTGAGTTACTCCTCAAATGAATAAAAAAAATTCTCTAAAACACCAATTAATTGAAATCATAGATAATAAGATTTGCCATTCACTGAATTTATGAAGAAAAGAAAACTTGAGAAAGTGGGCAGACTTCAAGACAAAATTGAATCCCCAAAAGCAAAGTATATTTTGAATAGTCAAACTCCCATATATCTTTGAATTCAACAAACAGAATAAAACAATAAAGTACAATTTAAACAGCATTCACAATACTACATATTTTATCTAATCTATAGATGATTTAAACGTTATAAAAGGATGTAGATATGATATGGTCAAAAACACCACCATTTTATGTAAAGAACTCAAGCTACTAAAACTGTACAAGGAAAAGTGTTTGAAATACAAACGTTAAATTTATATTATTAAGCAATATTAAAATTACAATTAAAGTGACCCAGTTATAAAAGTTGGAAACAGGTGGGGTGTGTAAACGTGATATCATGACTAAGAGTAGCTTGCCAAATACGTTTTTATTGTGACATCAAAATATAGCTTGAATATGCTACACTATACGCAAGTTATACCTCAAAAGAAAGAAAGACGTTGCGGTGGGAGAAAGGCAGTGCTTAGACTGCAAAACTCCCTGTAGCTCCAATCCCTAAAGATGATTTTACTTGGTTCACTTACTATAACGAATATTTTGGTATGCAAAGTTATCTTGTGAAACAGCATTGCCATTTCCTTAAACTTACCCGAGAGAATTCCAGCCACCTATACTGAAAGCGTCTGCTAAGGTTTGGAATTCTGGAATAAACCATCCTCCAAACCAAATAGTTGGCAATGGTCCTGGTAACAGAGAGAGAAGAGCATTTATTGTATTTTAGGTTGATATATGATGCTCTGCACAGCACTGTGGGGAGAAGTATTGGCAAACCTCCACACAGAAACCTCTTCCTTATGTAAAAATTCAGGACACAAAATGATAGAGTGCCAAAAAGTTCAACCTAAAGTGTCCAAAATTTGCTTACTTTTCATCACCTAATACAGACAGATGAAATGAAGATTCCTGCCCAAGTCTCAACGTAAACATTTTACTTTCCCTCTAAGGGCATAAAGATCACTACTGCTCAGCCTTCCATGTCAACAAATGTTCAATGCATTCTAATTTTTAGGTGACTATACAAAATTTAAAAGACGCCCTTGTCTTGAAATATATCCACTAATAACATTTATCTAGATTTTCATCCCAGTTCTTTAAATACTACATATATGACTTTGAACATGTCACTTAAGACTCTAATTTGATCTTCTTTGTCAGACAATAGGGTTAGGTCATTACCATCTAAGTTGGCAGGCCAACTGAGAAAAATCCACACCCACGACAGCATGGTACCCTTACCCACTGAACATGCACTCTTCTCCAGGTAAAGAAATCAGACAACACATAAATCCAATATTTTCACTTATATAGAGATATACGAGGGAGCTCTACTAGCCTAGTAATAAGAAACTGAACTGCAAGCCCAAAAGTACGCAATTCAAACCTCCATTTATTGCCCCTAAAAACCCAGTGGAAGGTAAACGATGGATCAGTTCCAACACGATGACACACAACAGAGCCAAATTAATGGCAAATATACTGTTGTTGTTGTTGTGTGTTACTGAATTGGAACTAACACATAGCTGAACCTCCAATGGAATTTCAGCCTCAGTTAATCACACGGGAGGAGACTGTCTATCCTTCCCCCTCAGAGCAGTTGTTTCTCTGTAAGAATTTGTAAAACTACCTATTCATTTTATGGAGCTTTAACTAGATAATAAATCTATATGGATCTATAAGTTGCTTGACATTATTTTCAAATTATCAAATGACAACAAAGTGAACTAAAGCCAAAAAGCTCCTTAGAGGTGGGTAATGATAGTCTTGTTACAATAGGAGACAATTTTTTTTCATTCCAAGTGGTTGGTGATTTCCAAACATGGACATTCTGGTTGGCAGGGTACGCTGTTACTCATCATGCTACTCATACTCCGAATAGCACATTAGGCAGGATTCTTACTTTATCTAATAACTGTCACAGCACTACTGTAGAAGAGACAGTACAATATCTATTTAACATATAATAAAACGTTGAGGCTCAGAATCATTAACTCCTCACAATCACATTGTTTAATTACTTAAGACCTACACTAGTTTAAGTAGATTACCTGGAGAGCTTTAACAGTGTTATTCCAGGTTGTCTCTCCTTACAACATGTCCAAAGTATGTCAGACGAAGCCCCAGAATCCTTGCCTCGAAGAAGTAGCCTGGTTTAACCCTCTCTAGGATGGATCTGTTTGTTTTCTTGGCAGTCCATGGAACATTCAATACTCTTCTCCAGCACCACAGTTCAAAGGCGTCAATTCTCCTTCTATCCTCCCTAGTCACTGTCCAACTCTCTGATGCATAACAAGTGATTGAAAAGACCATGGTCTGTATCAGGCACACCTTAGTCTCCGAAGAGACACCATTGCTCTTGAGTACTTTAGAGAGCTCCCTAACCGCAGACTTTCCCATCACAATATGTTTTTTTTATTTCCTGGCTGCTGGTGCCAAGAGTGTTGACCGAGGAGCCGAGCAAACTGAAGCTGTGAACAATCTCAATCTCTTCACCATCCATCCTGATGCTACCGATTGGTCCAGTGGTGAGAATCTTTGTCTTCTTGACACTGAGCCTCAATCCATACTGAATGCTGCAGTCCTTGACCCTCCGCACAAGGAAGTCCAATGAATACCACTATCATTCAGATATATGCACCAACCACCAGAGCCAAAGAAGAAGAAATAGATGATTGCTACCAACTTTTACAGTCGGAGATCGATCGAACATGTAATCAAGATGCATTGATAATAATGGGTGACTGGAATGCAAAAGTCGGGAACAAAGAAGAAGATTCAGTAGTTGGAAAACATGGACTTGGTGACAGAAATGAAGCTGGAAATAGAATGACTGAAGTTTGCACAATGACTTATTCATAGCAAGTATGTTTTTTAAGAGACATAAACGCAGGTTATACACCTGGATTTCACCTGATGGTATGCATAGGAATCAGATTGAGTACATATGTGGAAAGAACCGCTGGAGAAACTCAATATCAGCTGTGAAAACTAGGCCAGGAGCTGATTGTGGAACAGACCACCAACTACTCATGTGCAAGTTCAAGCTGAAGCTGAGGAAAATTAAACCGAATCCACAGGAGCCAAAATATAACTAATTTCATACCACCTGAATTTCAGAATCATCTCAGGAACAGGTTTGAGGCCTTGAACACTAATGAGCGAAGACCAGATGAGTTGTGGGAGGATGTTAAATATATCATCCAGGAAGAGTGAAATTGGTCATTACAAAGACAGAAGAGGAAGAAAAGACCAAAATGAATGTCAGAAGAAACTCCGAAGAACTAATGTAGTTAAGCAAGGCTAAATCTATCTTCTGGCTGTAAATTAGGGTTCTCTGTAAATCAAATTAATGCAATTTCCGAAAAGGACCTACTATCATGCAAGTGAGTTTAAAAAGGGTGTTGTTACTGTTCTTATGTGCCATTGAGTCTGTTGCGACTCATAGCGACACCTAAATGCCGTTCTATCCTGTGCCAAGCTTGCTGTCTCAAACACATTCATTCCCACCAGTCCACAAACAGAATCGGTCCTTCTCATCGAGAGTTTTCCTGTCCTGCACCATCCCTCCACTTTCTCAAATATGATGTCCCTCTCCAAGGACCTCCTTGCAACATGCCCAAAGTATGTCAGAAGAAGATTCAGAATCCTTGACTCCAGGGAACATTCTAGCTTCACCCTCTCCAGGACAAGCCTGTTTGTTCTCCTAGCAATCCATGATATATTCAACACTCTTGAAGATTAGTTCTACTTCCAGACCATTGAGTCACAACCAACCTTGAACTGACAGGATTCGGGATTGCAACATAGCTTCTAGCCACTAGGTGGCAATCTTGTCCAATGACAATAACTGCCTCTAAAACCCACCTGAGGGTCACACAACCACAATGCAAGACACTAGAAGGAGTTAGCTCATTAGATATGAAAGAATGAATATGTACTGTTTGCGACTCTTAGCTAGCCTATGTACAAAAGATCAAAATCTTGAACTTGAGCCTTGTTCTTTGGGTTTGACATACCTATTCCCAGTGCATCTTATCCAGGGACATCTTCCAAAGCACGATGTCTCTCTCTAAGGACTGGTCTCCTTGCAACATGCTCAAATTACGTCAGATGGAGCCTCAGAAACCATGCCTCCAAGGAGCAGACTGGTTTTACCCTGCCTAAGAGGAACCTGTTTATACTTTTAGCAGTGCATATTATATTCAAGACTCTTTTCCAGGACTACAAACAACTCAAAGGAATCAATGCTTTCTAATGAATAACAAGTAACTGGGAAGACCTTAGTCTGGATCAGGTACACCATAGTCTGTAGATGGTGATCACTGCTCTTCCTTACACTGGAGCAGACTTTCCCAATGGAATCTGTCTTTAGATTTCATGGATGCTGGTACTAAGAGTGTTGATTGTGGAGCCAAGTAAGCTGAATAATCTCTTCACCATCTATCATGATGCTGCCAATCAGCCCAGTGATAAAATATTGTGTTTTCTTAATGTTGAGCTTCGATCCACACTGAAGGCTGAAATCCTTGACCTTCTGCAGCAAACACCACTGGTCCACCTCAGTTTTAGCATGCAAGGTTGTGTTATCTGCATAACATAGGTTGTTGAGGAGTCGTCCTCCAAACCCTGATGCTACATTCCTCCTCATAAATCCCAGCCTCCCGAATGATCTGTTCTACATATAGATTGAAAAGTTTATGGAGATACGATGCATTGTTGGCATATATACTTTCACCAATTTTTGAACTATGCAGGGTATCCTTGCTGGGTTCTGACGACGGCTTCCTGGTCCAAACATAGGTTTCACATCAGAATGATCAAGTGGTTTGGGATTAACATTCTTCTCAGAGTCAGCCACAGTTTGTTGTGATTCACACAGTTAAACGCCTTGGCAGTCAATGAAACACAGATTGCTTCACTATGAGTAGGAATCAACTAAATGGCAGTGGGTTTTGATAGACATATATTTGCATTCAGAAGTCAGTCACCTTTTTTGGAAATGGGACTAAATAGATACATGCTCCAATCAGTTGGCCAGGTGGATGTACTACCTAATTCTTAGTGTCACAACATGGTGAGCGTGTCCAGGATAGCGTGTTTGTTGAAATTTTTCAACTGGGTCCTTCTTTATTGCCTATTCCTTCAAAGCAGCTTGAACTTCCTCTTAAATCATCACAGACTTTTGATCTTATATTGTTTCATGACATTCTACTGTAGGGATTCAGCAGAGCTCTTCTATATTAATGCTGCCTGTATCATTAAATATTCTGCCATTAAGAATTGCAACTCGAGGCTGAAATTTGTTATTCAGTTCCTTTAGCTTAAAAAATGTCAAGCAAGTTCATCCCTTTTGATTTTTTAACTCTAGCTCTTTGCATATTTCATTATAATAGTTTGTTTTTTCTGCTGAAGGTGACCTTTGAATCGTCTGTTCAGCTCCTTAACTTTATTTTTTTCCTTTGCTCTGGTAAACTTGATCTTCCAACAGAAATTTAAACAAAAATTTTAAGTGTGCCACAAATAGGAGTTGACAATCAAAGTCACAGTTTATAGTATTCAGAACTAAAACGTTCTTGAACCAAGTCTCTGCATGCAGTGATTTCACATCAAATCTAAGACTTTTAGGGGGGAATTCTTAAAAATACTGATTGCTATGTGAAATTTATCATGCAGATAAACCAGCAGAAGAAAGAGAAAAGAAGTTGGCTTCCTGTTCATGACACCGGTTCGGCTACATTCCACCCAACACACTAGAGAATTTCACACCAGAGAATTTCTGGGAAGTTGGTTTTCCTTCTACTCAGACTTGTGTAGAGAGAGGTTACATTAAGGAAGATCTTGATCCATGTCCCCGTCCAAAGGGACGGCAGCCTTACGATGCAATGTCTTCTCCAATAGGCAAGGAACAAAAGACATAGATATTGAACCAAACCAGAATAGAGGACAAAACTTTTTCCTTTTTAGTTATAGTTAAAAGTAGTACTAAACACTGATATCTTTTTTTTAACCTTCTGTAAGATGATTTATAAACCAACTTTCTATTGAAAATGTTTTGAAATTCAATTACCCACCACATAGACAACTATTTAAGCTGTGGACAAGTTGATGTATTCTCTTGCTTTTGCACCTTTTAAACAGTCAGGTGCTTTTATTTTGCACTCTAACTTAAGAAGTGTTTATTTACTCTACTTGATAATAATAATTACAATTTTGAAAATTAAGAAAGAAAAAAAACCACACCAAATCTACTGTTTCCTCAGCCACTCTCCAGACCTACTCTGGCAGAATCTATGAAGGAAGGGTGATGAGATCTAGCTTTAACAAAGGCCCAAGGTGATGTTACTGGAATCACTAATCCAAACAGTACACGATGAATAAAAAGTTTTCAGCTCAAGTCCAACGAGAGGTGCCTGGGAGGAAAGTTCAGCCACTAGAAACATGGTTCTACTGACACACATGATTAAAAAGGGTGAGACTAGTCTCAATGGCAACTGGTTAAAAACACAGGTACACACACACACGGGCTTACAAACATATACAAAACACTTGTCTTTCCAGTTTTCTTCCAGAAATTCTTCAAGGAATCATTGTTTATTTCTAAATGGTAGGCCTGCATATGTGTGACTGTTTCATCTACTCCTTTCCTGTGATTTCTGGTGAAGGACCCACACTGCTCTTAACAGGAGATAGGCTACTAAAAGCAAAGCAAAGAAATGTTTACAGGTCTCTTCCGAGGAAGAAGGTAGATGTGAAATTTTGCTCCTCTAACTCTTTTATCTACCTTCTGGCAACAGACTCTGACTCCAAATAAGAAAATATATGACTTTTAATCCTAGCCCAAAAATTACTTCAGTAAATTTTCTCTGTCAGCTAGTTGACCTTTGGGTGCTTTGTTATCTGAAACGAGCTAAGGACAGCTCAATAAAGAAGTCTTCTTCCCTGCACAATTCTAGAATTTCTTTGTAGCAGTAAAGCAGCTAAGCAACAAATTGTAATACATTTATTAAATGAGAAAACCGTGAGCGTCCCTTAAGTTCGTTCATTAGTGCAATTATCTTAGTGGCTTTCTATCTGTTCAATGTAGGCACTATGCTTTGATGTTGTTAAATGACGTACGGGCTAACAGGGAAATCAGAAAAACGTAGCAAAAGACTGAAAACGAACTGGGTGCAGGGGGAGAAGAGATGTTCATGTAGAACTCTTCGAAAATAACAACATTATATTGCTTATTTCCACAAGAGAGAAACAATCTAGACCTTTCACAACAATAGTGTAGAGAAAGATTAGAAAGATGGGGCAAGAATATTGTGTATCTGTTTTTACTACAATAATTTCATTACACCAGGCAATAGTGTAGGCCAATTTGACACAAAGAACATCAGGATTTCCCCTGTGGTTCCTTTAACGTAACATTAAAAAAAAAGGGGGGGGGGGGAGGCAACATTTATCACAGGACATGAGAAGTAAGAAATAAAGGAGAAATAAGAAAAGTAAAATTAACATGCCAGCTCTTACTTCTTCCTCTCAGTGCCCAAGATCCGAAACAAATCCTTAAAATACTGTGGGACTCTAACAACCACATCTTCTGCAGGGCTGATGTCCTTCAGGTGGGGATAGAGTCTTGTATCGATGACCTTCTTGATGTAGCCCAGCCAGTCAAACTGAGGAGTGAGAGAGAGAGGCAGTGGGGTTGAGAGAACCTAGTAAGCAGTGTTGTGATCTGACTAGTATCCCCACCCTTCAAAAAAGATATGAAGAAATCGGAAGCCTTGGTACCTGTGAATGTGAGCTTGTTTGGAAGGAGTCCTGGAAGATGTTAGATAAATTAACACGTGTTCATGTTAGAACAGAATGACTCCTGATCCTTACAAAGATAAGGAGAGAGAGAAAGGGGGAAGAAAACATTGTGACAACATGAATGGAAGCTAAGGATTGTCAAAAGCTGAGTGAGCTATCTAACCATGACTCCCTGGACAATTCTTAATAGCTCAATATGTACTGACGAGGATTTTAACCCACCAAGAAGAACCTCAGAAGACAGACCTCATCCTTATAAATTCAACATGACATCAACTGACAGCTACATCAGTAGGCTGCTCATGAGGCCTAGTGGGTAAGGAAATGTGCTGTCAACCCAAATCCTATTCACCAGCTAGCTGCTACTATGGAGAAAAATGAACATCTCCTCTCCTGCAATTTAATACCTCTGAAAAACTCCTCAAGGGTTGGTTAGCAGTCTCTCGGCACATGGCAAGAGGTACAATGCCAGGGACTGAATTGGGGGATTCAACTGTGGAAAGCATGTAATGACCCCAGTGGTCAGTTAAACCAAATGGTGGTAGGACACTTAAGGGCACAATTCAACTATTTCTTATTCCACCTCTGCCCTAATCCAACCTAAGGGCAGTTCCCTTAGGGTGTGGCCTATAATGCCTTTCATTAGTACCACCAAGAAATAATTTCCAGGTGAGAAGTGTCTCTCTTCCTACCCAGGTCACTGGGCAATGAACCTCTACGCACTAGTGAGGAAAAGCCAGAATACATGGAGGTCTCCAGGGATAATTAGGCCTAAACATGCTGAAGGAAACAAGGTCTTTCCTCTGTAACTACTGTGAGAGAGGGCTAGTAATCTCAAATTGGACTTGTGGTTTTCCTAAACTGTAAGAGAGTAAGTAATTTTTAAAGCCATCCCTTTGTTCCATATCTGTTATTAACAGTACAGAACCAAAACATACAATATAATGGGGGTTTATCACCTAATCTACCGATGAGGCCTGTCCTGCAACACAGCTCTAACAAAACGAACCCAAGGTAATAAAATTGTTAAATTTTATACCAAGCAAATCAGAAAATCCGCATGTGGTGTGTCTACTAAGGTCTACTAAAAGAGGTTTTTTTGCGAGACAAAAAGTGCTCCAGATGTTGTCAAAAAGAAAAAGCATGCCACCAGAGCTGATGGTGCTTGGAGGTGCAGTAAATGTGTCCATGACAAGATAGAGAAGAAGAAAATTGTCGTCAAAGTATTCAAGACATGAAGGCCAAAAGCTAAATTGAAAAATAGTGCTTCTTTAAGTATAAAATTTTCATAAGAAGTGATTTCTCATCTTTACTGCCTTGTTCGCCCTACTTAAATGAGAAACTAGTTACATACACAGCCAGTCCTGTAGACAGCGTGTGGGACGCAACTCTACTCAACAAGAAATAAGATGTCTTCTATAAAAGGCTTATTTTTCTCTCTTTCGGCTTTGATGGCAGATGTGACAGATGAAACTATGGTAGCAATATTGCAAAAATTCATTAAGGATTAAAGATTAAACAGGACCTGACACACTTAAAAGAGTGGAGGAAAAAGAACAAACCTGATATCAGAGACTGATAAGCAGGTGCATCAATGCCAACAACCACCTTAAAATCAGACTTCTGTCATGTAAGAAAAGAAATTTGTCTTTTTTCACGTTGGAAATAGCATTCTCAACTGATAAACAGAAATGAGACATAATGAGACTGTTAATAAAGAAGATGAAGAATTAAAAAGATCAGCTGGTTTCAAAATGCAAACTCATAAAAGACACTTACCTGATCTGAAATACAGTGTGAATGAAGGCATGTGTGAAACAAAAGACAGATGATACACAGTGTACATAAACATTGTAAGCAAACCAAAATAAAAATTTTTTAAAGTTGGAAAACATTCAACGCCTTGTAGAATATTCAATTAAACAGACTTGCTTGGATAGTTATTACCAACCTCAGGTATCATAGCACTCAGTTCAGAAATGTTCATTTTGTTGTACATGGCCTCACTGGTTCTATTTTCATGCGGAATCATTATCTGTTGGAAAGAGAAGTTGGTTATTGTTTTAAAAATATCAATTCTTGCTTCACAATTACCTTTTATAAGTGTCAAAATATCTACATCGTATCATCAAGTTCTTCCAGAGACTAATATAGTGCCCAACTTGGGGGGGGGGGGGCACTGCATTAGGCAAGACTAAGAATGACAAAAAGATTCTAGTATCTTATTTCATAAGAAACATGCTACCTCAATTAAAAAGAACTATCTAGGATCCATGCCTCATCACTAATACGTTGTTACCATCGAGCCAGAACTGACTGATAGTAAACCATTTGGCAGGTTTTCGGATGCAGATAAACACACAGGAGAAAACTATCTATGTGCCTTAAGGATTACAGCCCTGCTTTTATCCAATAGGCCACCAGTGCCCCCTCATCTCTAATGTATACAGGCAAACCTACTGTAAGTCAGGTTTTGATTAAAGTGAATCAGGAGAACTGAGGTAAAGACCCAACTTTTTCCTATGGTCTCCAGATAATGACCCCAGTATTTTTTAATTACAAAACAGCAAAGTCTTCAATTAAATATATCAGACTTTTCACAAGGACTAACTAATACTTGTCCTGATTGCCGTGTCTGCCCAGGCTTTCAATTCCTATAATGTGTCCCGTTTAATTTGAATGTTCCCAGAAAGATAGGAAGATGCCATAGTGACAATAGGATTGGTTTAAGTGTGGCAGAGACGATTAGGATGGCACAGGATCGGGAAAATTGAGCTCCATGGCACTTAACAGGAGCCTGTGATGGTGAAACATTAAATGTACACATTGCTGTTGTTATGTGCCGTCGAGTCGAACATACTCTGTTGGGTCACTCTTCTTTGGAATAGGATCAAATCTATATCTCTTCCAGTCAGTACATTAGTCAAATTAAAAAATGACTAACTTAAAGCCATGGAGTTAATACACACTCATAGGTAACCCTGCAGTGAGTTTCCTGGATATGGGAGGAAGACAATGGAGAAAATGGCAGAGAGGCTGGCAATGGCATTAGCAGACTCTATAAGCATTAATAGAGGACTAAAGAGCAACACACCATGGGTTTTTCCAAGGAAAAATCATAGTGGGCACAGTAGAAGGGATAATCTCCTGTTTTCTACTACAGTACTGTTACAACTTCTTAGCTGTACTTGAATTGCAGCCTCAGAGAATACCCTCACCCTCTTCTCTTCCCAGCGTGGAGTCCTGTGGCCTCAGAGCTGTTTCAGCTTTCTGCCAGCTCCTATCTCCCCTCCCCCAGGCTCTTGAAAATTACCCTCTTGAAAATTCTCAGTCATGCTTTAGCCCAGCTGTTTTTAGTTTCTAATAGACAATGATTTACTTAATCTATTAGAGATTCAGTCCAAATTAGAGGTCAGATTGCCTGGAAAGGGAATCCAAACACCCACTAGACATGGCTTAGAGACACACTAGTCTTTAATACCAAAACATCTGCAACAGCATTAATAGGAGACCCCGAGAGGCATCAGTCCTCACATGGTTTTCAAATGTGGCAAGCTGGAGTGAACTTTTGCACTCCAAGTGGGAGTTTGGAGAGAGGTACGCATGAAAATCACCACAGCAGTGGGACCAACTCCTGATGACCTTATCCTCCAAGCAAACTCCACTCAGGGAATTGAAATACCACCTGCTCAAATACACAATCAGTAACAATTTTTACTGTTACTCACTTCAGGATTTCTACTAACGTATTATAAAATACGTTGCTTTTCACTACAAGATATTTGCATATCCCTCTATTATGGGGACAACACATTTAGCATTTATTCTCCCTCAGCCTTCTTTTTCTATCTTCTTGTCTCTATCATAAGCCTGAAAGGCTTTAAGGTCATTTACATGGACATACATATAACACAATGACTGTCATTAAAAGTGAGGCAAGAGAATAAAAACAATTTAGGACCAGAAAGACAGTTAAAAACGCATACAAGTGTGCACTTTCCACATCAAAGCCTGTATCCAATTATTAATAAAAAGATTGAGAGGAAGCCAGTTCGTGGTTCAGACTAACCTTAAATCAAACTGATGCAAAATACAGACTGAATTAAAATTAAATTTTGATTGAAAGATAATCTACTGCATGGTGCCACTGGCGTTAAAGTGGGACTGATATCAGGGTTGGGATAACACTGAAAAAAACTGGATAAAAAATGTATATTTCATTGAAACAGATGACGGAGAGAAAAATTTAAAAGCGATGAATGATAGAGTATTATGGCAATCACAAGAGTCCACAATTAAGGTTGCATAGTAGAGTGTACTTGGGTTGGTGGGAGGGGTGTGGGGTTAATGAATTTTCCTTTTACTTTTCAAAGAGAGGAACGAATGGGGGTGGGGGAAGGGGGCTGAGAAGGGAGAAAAGTGCAACACTGAATGAATGGAAATCCAAAGACTCTGTAAATTTTCATTAAATTTATTAAAATAAAATTAAAAAAAAAGAAAGGTAATCTAATTGATCAAGCATCTACCTTTATATTTTGCAGAGATAATAGTTTCTCTCGTAAAATATAGAGTGTCTCCCTGCTGGTATTCTATGGCCACAGCTGAGCAGGATATAAAAGTGAATGGGTTTAAAGCTAGAAGGAATGAAGAATTCCTTTTTCCATCACAGTGCTACTTATACCATACCAGAAGTGATGCTACTAGCTATATTTTGGAGGCACAAGGAAATGTCATAGAATTATTTGGTTATTATTGGCTACTATTTGGTTACAATTGTCTTTGTATTCTGATATATTGCATTTAAAATAACAAAACCAAAAAGAATCTAGATTAAAACTTACCTCAGCTATTTTCATTTCCAATTTAAGCACAGATTTCATGTCATGTTCTGCTCGGGAGATATTAGCGCCTAAAAGCACGGCAGTATCTACCATGAACTTGTAAAGGGCATCCCGATACTACAAAAGATAAAAAAGCAAGTGATAATAAGAGACAATGACTAGGGAGGATAGAAGGGAATTGAAGCCTTTGAGCTGTGGTGCTGGAGAAGAGTATTGAATGTACCATGGACTGCCAAGAAAACAAACAGATTCATTGTAGAGAGGGTTAAACCAAGCTACTCCTTGGAGGCAAGGATTCTGGGGCTTCGTCTGACATACTTTGGACATGTTGTAAAGAGAGACAGGTCTTTAGAGAGGGACATCATGCTGGGTAGAGTAGAGGGACAGTGCAGGAGGGGAAGACCCTCTATGAGGTGGATTGATTCAGTGACTGGGGTAATCGGGATGGGTGTGTCAGAGGCAGTGAGATTGGCATGGGATAGAGCACGGTTTAGGGCAGTTGTACGTAGGGTCGCTATGAGTAGCAAACGACTCGACGGCACATAACAACAACAACAACATGAAGACTTAAATTTTAAAGATAATCAGGGGAGAAAAACCCAGCAAAAACATATGGAAATAAATATGCTCCATTTTTACACTTTAAATTACGGTCCCAGAATCATGGAATGGCAATGACTTAACTACCACATGGGGAGAAAGAAGAGTGGTGACTGCTTGAGTACATGACAGAAATATTCAAACATAAAAGATCAAGAAAACCAGTGTTTGGAGAATCAGTGATATTTTGGATACATTAAACATCTCCAAATGATCACAGAATAGAAAGTAAAAGGTCAGAAGTCTTCTTTCCAAGGCAAGTGAGGCTTTAATAAAATAATGAGAAAGAATTCTACTTCTTAAAAGAAGGAGACATGATCGATGAAAACTAGATAGATTGGTGAATTATTTTCTTCTAGCTTAATTTACCAATTTTCACCCTATTAATCAAAAGCACAAGGATTGCAGTCTTCTCTCTTTTCTACTTGTATATTATTCACAAACTATTTCTCTCTTAACTCAGGGTGGAAAAGAAGTGATACAAATAAACTTAGTCAACTGAAAATAGGCAAACTCGATGTGCATTGAACAACTGTTGGGTTATGCATGAATCATTTTATGAGGACCTTAAAGAGGCCTCATCAGGGGGGTTACCCTTTGATTTCAAATGTATCATTCCAGTTAGGAAATGACCTCATAATTGTGCTACAGGTATATGGTTTCTCAATGTACAGCATGACCCTGTAAAGCTTGTTACTATGGTTATGACTCTGGTGAAATTCTATTAATCCAATGCTTGATTCGAAGTGATTCGAATTCACCAGAGACTCTAAAGGAGAAAGATGTGAAGATGTCCCTTGCTGTGATTTATCAGAATCTCAGAGGACAGCTATGAATAGGAACCAAATCAAAGACAAAGAATAAGAGTTTTGGGAGCTCTGGTGGCCTAGTGGCAAGGAGCTGCAACTACAATCCCAGAGGTACACGGTTTGAATCCACCAGCTGCTCTGCCGGGGAAGGAGGGACAATCTCCTCCTGTCCCAGTCAGATCTGAATTGACGGTACACTCACACACACAAAAAAAATTTAAAAAAAAAAAGAATAAGAGTTTTGATGCTTCAGGACATATACAGTGCTTGGGGAATAAATAAAGAAAAACTGTTGCTGCCAATTTCAACTCATGGAAACCCCATGGGCTGCTAACTGTCCAACCTACCTAAGGAGTTCTGTTCACCATATATTGTTATTAGCTGTCAGAGACTCTAGAGTCGAGTAAAACTCATAACAACCCCACGAACAACCAATCCGAAATCTGTGCTCTTATACACCAACCTCATCATCAGTGAGCAATTTCCTGTGAAGTTTGAGTAACTTTGCTGGGGATGAGGAAAAGCAGAGACCCTAGGTCAGTTTGGGATCAGGTCATAAAGAAGTCTGTGAACGCCCTGGAACGAATTTATACTCAAGAACAAAAGAGAGGTGAAATAATTAAAAACAAATTAGCAACTGTTAGAATATGTTCAAAAACTATATAATAAATATTAATAACAAACTCTATATAAAATAAATTTAATTATAAAAGGGGCAAAGAACTTCAATAGATATTTTTCCAAAGAGTACATTCAAATATCTACCACATATGAAAACTTGTGTATTTAACCATCAGAGAGTTGCAAATCAAAGCCATTCCATTTCATGCTCATCAGGAAAATAACAAACGTGGCCTAGTGTAAGAATCTGTGCAGCATTCCAAAACAAAAATACTTTGAATCCACCCACTGCTCTGTGGGAATAGGATAAGCAATCAATCTCCTCTCGTATTTATTGTCTCTGAAAGCCCACTGGAGAATCATCTATGGATCAGTTTTGCATCAATATCACACAGCAAAACATTGGAGTACAAGTTCCTGTTTGTGCCTCAGTTTTCATTTTCTTGGGATATGTTCCAAGTAATGGAATACCTGGTTCATAAAAAATTTCGGTTTTCTGAGGAAGCGCCAAACTGCATTCCACAATGGTTGTACATTGACAATCCGACAAACAATGTATAAGAAGTCAGACAATCTTAAAAAACAAAAAGAATTCCTACAATCTACATATCCTCTCCAACATTTACTACTTGCTGTCGTGTTAAACTTTGCTACTACTATGCTGTGTATATTTGTAACAACATTGACATACATAAAATATTGAGAAAAAAAAAACAAATGCAGCATGGAAACGGCACGTGCTTTGAAAAGACAACGTTCAAGTGATGCTAAGGAGGAGACAGAATAAAGGGAAAGAAAATTGTTAAAAAAATGTTAAAAGCTTTCTGTACATAAGAGTTAACAATGACTGATAAAAGGACAGAATGGAGAAATAAGTGAACTAGATCTTTTGAAGTTGAATGAATAGAACTAACTGTTTCTACAGGAACAGTGAGTTGTTAGTCTTTGAGGGGTTATGCACTCCAGCATACACGGAGGAGACCCCAGTTTGGCAAGTGTCATTCTACCCATTTCCAAGAAGGAAAATTTGTCAATGCTCTTTGATGAATTTAAAAATTCAGCCAGAAGGCAGCCTGGGATCCTGGCTGGTATCCTGCTTCAGAGACCTCTAGATATGGGGGTTAGAATCCGCCTGGAAGCAGGGACAACTGTGGTCCAACACTTCTTAAAGATTGTTGCCTTTTCAGGCTAGGCAGAAACCAGAGCATTCCCTGAGCCCAAGGCTCCGTTAAAAAGGCAATAATGTCTTCAAAAAGAATGGTAAGTGTCTAGAATGAAATAGCTATACAAAAAAGGTACTGAGCATAGTGGATTATCCAAGCTTAGAATTCAAGAATAAAAGGCCTTCGTAAATTAAGAATGAGGTCAACAAAGGGCCATACTGCATATTTCTAGCAAAGGAATCTTAATCGACAAACCTGACAGTAGTAGCCAAAAAGGGCATATAGATGGCTAAGAGTAAAGCTTACAGATTTGGCTTCTGTGCTGTTATCAAGGTAGTCTTCTCTCACAGCCAGGGATAAGGTTGCTTGGTCCAGCTGTTAAAACAAAACCAGAAAGTATTATATGTATCTAAATCATAAACAAGAATTATGAGATCACATGAGTACCCCAGATTATTTTTGGCTTTTGACAGTATTTACCAACACCAAAACTAGCAAAACGTGGCATAGAACTTGGGAATTACCTGGCTTTCACTCTTATTTGATGGACAAAGAGCCAAAAGCAAGAGAAGCAATGTGACATTTCTAAGGTAACACTATTAAACTGAGCTCACAGTGAAATCTCAATATTCTATCATAGGATTTAGTAGTCTTCTCGATACAATATTCTGTAAAAATATCAATCTAAATTTAACTAATGAGACATTCTATGTCTCCATCTCTAAAATATTTTATTATACTTTTTAAGTATTCAAAAGTACAAAATAAATTGTTCTGAAAAATCATTTTAAAATTTAGAATAGCATCTGGAGAGTTTAAGAAAGGTAACTAAGTACAGACTATGAGACATATGTAGAATTATTATTATAAATAAGAATATTATAAATTTTTGACCAATCTATTTGTTTAATGCAATCTCAATCCAGATATCAAATTCATTGTTCAAGGAGATCAAAATGGAAATTGTCAACTTTACTTAGAGAGGCAAACCACCTTGAATAAGTTAAACACTTCTGAGAAACAAAAATGATGTGGGAGGCATAGTATTATACAGCAGTAGTTTAGTACTGCTACAATGATAGGCACATAACCAAAACAATGGAAAAGAATGCAAACCCAGAAACAGACCAGATATCTATGTTCAACTAATACTCAACTAGGAAATAAAACCTATCAAAAGGTGAAATGAAAAAGTCTTTAAAAAATGATGCGGGCAAAACTGGACTGCTTTCTGTACAAATCTGAAACAGTATCCACATTTTACACCATACACAAAAAGGAACTCAAGAAGGATCACAGACCTGGGAGTAAAGCCCAAACCTAGTCCACTGTATAAACAGCCAGCAAGTTACAATTTGAAGAGAATAATATTGATGAATGAAATCTTCTAATCATAAAAAACTTTTTCCAACATGGTGAAAAACAAACATACCAACTGGGAAAAAACATTTAGCAATACCAGAAAGTTTAAAGAATACTCCTGAGCCTACACAAGAAAAAGGCTGATAACCCAGTTACAAAATGGGCAAAAGACATGGAATGAGTTCTCCCAGATGAAGATACTTTAATGACCAAAAGACACATAAAGAAATGCTCAAAATCACTGGCAGTAAGAGATGCAAATAAAATACACAATGAAATACCATCGAAGCAGAAGGGTGAGTAGAGGGGGGGCGGGGCGGGTGTGGATTAATCATAGTGTCAAGCTGCTCCATAGGAAAAGGATGAGCAATCTCCTTCCTTTCTTTTTACTGTCTCTGAAAACTCACTGGAGAGTCAGTTAGGAGACAGATCCTAATTGACAGTACAAAACAACAAGGCCAATTGTGGGGAAAAGTGAGCAAGTTCCTATCATATGATGTATAGCCCTTGAAAACCAATGGAGAGTCAGCTATGAGTCAAAGCTGATGACACCAATGAGATTAGAAGAGCGAAACAAAAACAATGTCAGCTGTAGTTAAGTCTATGGATCACTCATATGTTGCTAGTAGGAATGCAACACGATAGTCAGTTTGGAGAGAGGGAGACGATTTATGTATTACCCAGCAACCCTGCTCTTAGGAATTTATTTACACAGAAATTAATAATGTGTAGGCATCTTTATGTTCATCAGAAACTAGAAACTACTTAAATGTGCTTCATTTGATGAATGGATAAACTGTAGTATACAACAGCAATAGAAAAAATGGATGCCTGATACACATAACAACATGGGTCAAGAGACAAAACTTGAGGGATAGAAAACACATTACGTTACCAGTGACAGTGGCTAGCTGCAAAAGGCCAGTGTGAAGTAATTTCTAAAATAATATATCTGTTCAGTCTCCTGATTGCAGTGGTGACTGTAAGGGTTAGGGTTAGGGTTAGTCTCGATGCACTGTCAAAACCGATTGGCATGCACATCAGAAAAAAGAGCATCTAACTATATGTAAATTTTTAAATAAATTTTCTTAAATGTCTGGAAACATCTGTTACTTTTCTTTCCTGGGTATCAGCAATTTCTTCAACATTTCAGAATGAGGAATTTTCTCCCTTAAATTTCAGTCACATATGTAAAGGTGAAATGAAATGACATAAATTTATTTAAGTTATAAATAAAAAATAGCCTCTGAATAAAAATCTGAATGATAAATGCCTCTAACATGACATTATAAGAGGTGAAATTATTTTGATCCATCCTCTATGGTATCTTCATATTTATCATAATTGTTTCAAAAATTTTTATTACAGTAAATATATACAGAACCACAGTTTTTAAATTTAAATTTTTTAAAAAAATAGTAGGGAAAATCCTACTCCAAAAAAAAAAAAAAACGTAGGGAAAATAGTGTTCTTGTTGGGGGTAGGGGAAAAGATGTTCTCAAAACATGTATGTGTACTGCTAAAAATGCTCAAATATTTTGTTACATCTTCCCTAACTGACGTAAAGCAACCAAGTCCCTAGTCAACCTTATTTCAGATTACTACAATTCCCACGCTACCAAAATTTCTTCCAAAAATTGAGGAAGCCAAAGAAACAAAATATTAAGATTTAACACTTTAACTTGGACCATTTCAAGATTCTTTTGAACTTCAACCTCTAGGGAAGGAAATCATGTTGACATTATTAAGAAAGCAAAGACTTCTCTCTCATGAAGTGAAATCCAGTCACTGGACGAGTTTAAATAATTCATGTGAGGGTTAGGGTTAGGGTTAGGGTTAGGGTTAGGGTTATGCGTTTTTTACTATCTTCAAATTATCCTCATTTCCAGAAGCATTCAAAATCGAATAAAGTCAGGCAACTTAATCCCATTAGAAAGATAAACTCTGAGCATTTCTTATGAAAATAACATTAGGACATCATTAGTTAGGGTCTTTTACAACTAAACTAAATATTCTAATTACAGAAGGTTTTTAGTAACTCCAACACACTGAACTGATACTCTAGTTGAGGAACAAAATAGCAAAAAGAAACATCTGGAAAATTGCTATACAATAAAAAAAAAAGACAAATCAGAAAAGTTTCTCCTCCAATAAATCTTCTCTTTGTCATCCTTATGAATTTTGCTAGGGTGTCAAGCTAGTACACACTGCTTGAGTGATGATAACTTTTAAAAGTCATTGTTTTCAGTAGCATGTTCTAAAGCCCTGTCCCTCAGAACACTCTATTGAGAATCACATGTATTATGTTATATTAGCTGCCAAATTGTATGTCTGCATGCGGAAACCAAGACTAAGGAAACAAACGTTCATGGGGTTTTATGCAGATCTCAGATTAAAGTCTCTGCTAACAAAACGAGGTAGATATATGCTTGATCATCTTGTACCTGGTCATGTGTAGAACACTATCCAGTTCTATATCATTCGAGGGAAGGAGGTGAATTTGGGAAGAGCTCTAATGGAGAATGCTGCACTGTTAACCTAAAAGCAGAGAGTTCAAATCCACATGGAAGAAAAATGGACAATGGCATTTCATTAAGATTAACAACCCTGATTGTATTCTGTCTAACTGGGTTTCTACATAATAAACACAACTCTATGGTAGTGGGTTTGGATTTTGCTATTTCTAGCAAATATTATATAACCCTAACCCTAACCCTCTTCACCACCCCCAATTTTATATTACACTGTGTTTCACACGTTCCTTCGTAAAAATATGGAACACTTCAGGTATTTGCATGTCATCCTTGCACAAGGATCATGCCAATAACCTGTGTGCTGGAAAAGAGAGCACTGTACTGTTTCCTTTCTAAAAAATTATTATTAGATTATTTTGTATTTTCACTGAAAGAATATTTAAGAAATAAGTACCTATTTCTCAATTATTACAGACAGCTCAATAACCATTTTTTTCACATTGTGTCAATACTCAAATTCAAGTATTCTGGTTGCTTTATTTCTGGTACCCTAGTAACCCTACCCTTAAGCTTCTAATAATTGCATTAGAGTAGTTTTTGGCCTTTTAGTCTCATATAGATGGTTTCTTAATGGAATACCATTCTCATACACAGAAGGAGCTCTGGAGACACAGTGCCTTATGTGTTAAGCTTCTAAATGGTTACACATGTTATATTAATCATTGGATTATAAAATAAGATGTTCATGAAGGATTGCTTGATAAGGTAAAAGGATCTGGAAACTTTTAGTCAAATTAAAAAAGAAATATTTACAAAACCAGAAACCTGATAAAAAAGTTGCTAAAAGGGAAAAACTTGCTCAGAATTTCTCAAGATGAAAGATCTGAAGAACAAATTCAAGCATTGAGATGCTATGTGCAAAACTGTTAATGATCCAAGAGCCATGAAAAAAAGGAAGGACTAAACACAGTGACTTTACCAAAAATAATGGGTTGACACTGAAATTTTTCAGGAAGGGGCACATGATGAGGGCCAAAAGTGATGAGGGAAGAAGTCCAAGCTGCACTGAAGACACTGGAAAAAAAATGAGGTTCCAGGAATCGATGGGAAACCAACTGACATGTTTCAAATAATAGATTCAGCCTTGGACTATGCTAGAAAAATTCAAAGACAGCTACCTAGCCATATGACTGGAAGAAATTCATATTAATTCTCATTCCAAAGAAAGGTAATCAAGTAAGTGGAAATTACTGAACAATAGTGGGAAACTAATATCATATACAAGTAAAACAGTCCTTAAGATCGTAAAACTTTGGTATACAAAAACAGTTCAAGAATATTAGAAGGCAGTTTCGTATTTCCTCAGAAAACTGAAGAGATAGATTCTCTATGACTCAGCTATTTAACTGCTTGAAATATACCCCAAGAAAATTAGACCTGAGACACATAGACATGTACACCAATATTCATAGCAGCATTTTTCACCATCACAATAAGTAAGGAGTCAGATTGCCACCCCAAATACACATAGCTCAAATGCACAAGATCCACTAGAGGATTGATTTTAAGTTGGCTCTGACTCAATAGCCCATAATATTTCCCTGACAGTTGTATGGTTGTGAATCGTCTTCTCTGGTGGTCTGGGGCAAGATGCTGAACTGTATTCCCAAAGAAACGCAGTCTGATTCCAGCTACTCCAGGGGAGAAGAATGGGCAGTCTCCATTCGTGTGATTAACTGCGTCTGAATATCTGCTGGAAAGACAGCTATGAGTTGGTGTTGACTCAAAAGCATACAACAACACCATCTGGCTGATTCTGTGATAAATACTTAAATATGTTAACTTATGTAATCTTAAATTTAGCCCCTCTAAGAGATCATTATCAGAGAGCTCTGGTGGGCTAGTGGCAAGAAGCTGCACTAAAATTCCACAGGTGTACGATTTGAATCCAACATATGCTCTGATGGAAAAGAAGGGACAATCTCCTCCTGTACCAGTCAGATGCAATTTGACGGTTTACACACACACACACACACACACACACACAAAATTTTAAAAAAAGAAGAGATTATTATCATCCTCAATTTGCAGATGAGGAAAGAGACCATAGGCCACACAGCTAATGAGTACGCAGAATGTAACCCAGTGCATAATGCACTATGCCACCAGAACCCTTTCCACAATGGCGTAGCTACCATTTATCTTCAGGATACCATGACAGTAGGCAGACAATAAGAGGGAGCTGTGGTTGGCTGGTGGGTAAGGAATTTCTCAAATCAATGGCATATGGTTCATATCCATCAGAAAAAGATGGACAATTTCCCATGTGATTATTGCCTCTGACAACCTGTTGGAGTTTCAGCTATGAGTAGTTCCCAACTCCACAGTTGGGAAACAGTGTAGAAAAACAAGATACCTTCAAAATGTGTTCACTGGATGCCTTGTCATCGGGGGACACATACAAACGGATGAAGACAGAATTGCTGTATTGACCACGAAAAGTTGCAAGTGTCTGCAGAAGACTGAACTTCCTCTCTGACCAAACGCCTTCAGGGCCGATATTGGCTTCAAGCACAGGCCAGCGGAAAGGCGAATGCCGCAGAATATGCAGAAGGGGCTTGGCATCTGCTTTCTCAATTGCTTCTGAAAGGGAGCAGACAAGAACAGAAAAGAAACACTGTAAACTGGACAGCTAAACCCAAACAACATTTCTTGAGTGAAAATTCCTTGAAGGCCCAATTTCAAATCTCAATCCTGGATGCCAGAATGATTGTTAGGGAGACAAAGGGGTAGGATAAATGGGATGAAATGAACATAATGACAGACAGAACTACCAAAGACCGACATTTCAACAAAACTGTTTGGCCTAGAATTCTTTTGATGGTAGACAACTAGGGAACCTGCTAAGGATTCAAATATGCAATGTTTGAAATATGTCGGAAAAATGCAATACACAGTGCTGATAATACTCTGTAAAACTAAGGTACAAACATAACTCAATGCAGTGGAGGTGAACGTTCTAGGTTCTCTGCTCTTACTACCCTGTTCAAGTGCACCAAATTATACCCCAAATCCTGCTCCAGTAACAGAGACGTTGTTTTGTTACTACAATACTTGGAATAAGCAGCCCAGAAAGAATAGCTATTCATAAGGGCTCTATTCTAAATTTGCATTAGACAAAAATATGTACACAAGCCAAGGGTCTCGGGCAGAGATGCCTGCTAAGCTGATCTGGCAGGGAATGAGAACAGCTAAGTGCTGCAAGAGGTCCTATGGAACATTTAAACACAGGCTACTGTCTACCATGGTGCCATGTCTGGACTCTGGAATCTCAATCAGGTACATTTGAATTTGCCCTTCTGACTATCCAAATTTCTCACAGAATAAAGGCTATCCAAAGAACCCAAACTCTAGAAATAAAAGGTATTTTCTCCATCAAGACAGTTATTTAGTACAAACTAATTGAATACCTGACATTAACAAATATAGTCCAAATCTGTCCTTTCAGTAGGTTGCTTTCTGTAAACAATCTTTGAACAAGAATTCTCAGTAGTTCTCTGTCTGCTTAAATAATAAAGGGGACACCGCAGAATAAATATGGCAGAAAAATATTTCATTTAGTACTCACTCTCATTCATGCAGGATGAATAAAGGATTTTGGCTTTTTGTATGGCTTCAATGTCCCGTCTTCGACTGATTGATTTCTCCAAAAGTGCTGTGAAGGTTCGGAGAGAATTCATTAGTATCCACAAACATGTAGTGCCAAGCTGAAGGTCATGTGATAATCATAATGCCAATCTCCAGAAAATGCAATGTAAAGATATACAATCCAAGGAAAGAAAAAACACTTGCATACAGCAGTATCTATTCCATGTTGCTTGAAGTTCAACTGAAAAAATTTATAATCTCTTATCCAGGGCTCTCGTAACTCAAAAGAAACGAAATAAATAAAATGTCAAATGGAGACTAGACCTTCTCTAGGGGTTAATTTCTTCTACTACCTACAGAAAAGGAAGCAGAATTCATTTATTTAAGAGCCAAAAAAAACACAAACAGAATTCTGACCCTTGTTTATGCTCTGAGCAATATTCTCAACAGAGGCAATTTTACCTGGTCCAGTTTCTTAAGATTTCTTCACAGCATAGCCTTATAAGGAGGCCACCTGGAAGATTTTTAAACATTTCTATTCAAAGTTGTATTCAATGTTGCCTAAACATACTGGGGACATGGGAGGAGATGTTTCTTCTAGAAAGAGAAGATTTAGAAGCCACCACAAATTGCCTAAAAACTTGCTCATTTACCCATTTGAAGCCCTGGCCCTTGAAACAAGGCTATGAATGTGAAATAGTTGCTAGGACTAACAGGCTCACTTTGAAAAGTAATTTCTAATAAGAAAACTATGAATTTTACCATTGACTAGAAAATTTACCATTGATTCCCTCTCTCTAAAGAGAATACTTGAATGTACCTTAGATTATCCATTTACCAAAATGAAGCCAAAATAACAAAATGTTTCACGGGCTAGATCCATCATTGTCAGACTGCCATTGTCAAGGTATTTATGGTTGGGTTTTGGAAAAAATCTAGCAGCCTCCAGATCATATTACAACCGATGTTCGTACAATCCTATGAAAAGCTGCAAGACATGATGTACAGTGCTAATCAAATTAATATATAATCACCTATTGCATGCAGAGACATTTGCTTCTAAATTGCAATGTTTGAATTACCAAAAAAAAAGCAACTTTGAACTCCTATCCATTGTCTCACAAAGACCTGTATGTACAGCAAGTCTATATAACTAGTTAGCAAGGAAAATAAATTAAGCTGGGTTGGATGTAGGCCTTTTCAATTATTTCTACTTATTTGGTGTTTCTCTCTACTCTATTACAATAGCAATAGAGCAGGAAAACTAGCCCCAAGGATAAAGAAAGGAGATTGGTTTCTTAATAAACATAGAGCAGTAAAACGATCTCCACATATATTTCCATTCAAAACAGGTCATGTGTTTCTCCACCATATTACTTACAGAGTCATTAGATTGTTGGGAAACAAATTTGGAAATAATCAAAATTTCATTTAGGGACATGTTGTTCTGAGACTATAAACTCTCCACAAGCTGCAAAAATGAATGCCCTGAGGGTGAACAAGCCACAGGAGCAAATCAAACAGAAAGCAGTAATATTTACCTGAGTGCAACCAAGGTAAGCTGTGCATCTCAAAAGAAGAGGATAGGCAAGGAATATGCTTAGCTAGACAATCGCAAACCCCTAACCATATGCAAATATCAATTTTCTTTATGTAAAATTCCAGATCCTTTAACCACACTTGGCTTTTCAAACCTGGCATTTCAGCCTGGAGGATTCTCTGTCAGGCCAGTTTCCTACCCTTCTCTCCAAATAAACAGGACAGCATTGATATGCAGACAGTGATGTGGCAATTAGGGGGTGGTAACCAATTACGGGTGTCTGCATGTGAATTAGGGGCAAGTGGAGTAAAATCCAGCATGGAGAGTCATTCATGAACTCAAAACAAAGGCTGCCTGTCAAAAGCTATTACTCAGGTTATTATATCTGTAAAAGTCTGACAAGGGCTCCACCCACACATGGGCAGCCCCATGAGAATGGCTGTGATGTTCTTTAAGGATTTAATATTCTTACCCATAACATGTTCCTTCCTTCCTATGTTACAATGGAAAAGGAAAACTGCAAGTCAAAAAACCTTTGTAAAAAAGCAAAACTCAGACTCTTAGTTTGAAAGGTACTTTTGGTCATCTAACTTGAATAGTATATAAATTATAGAGACATTTTCATTCTCATCACACTAAATTAAAATTGGTTTATAAACCATAAAGTGATACAACAGATATGTTAAATGAAGAGAGGTTTCCAACTCACATAGACTTGGGTTCCAGTTACAAAAATAAAGAAAAAGCTGCTGCTTTCCAGATGGAATCTCAGCAAGATATTTAAACCAAGTCTGTGTCTATGTAAAAATCAGATAGTTAGTCCCTAACTCCCAGCATTGTGATGAGGATTTAAAAAATGTAACACAGAAAGACTCTAGATGTGTACCCAGAACTGGTTCATTTGTGTTTTGACCTCTACTAAGAGTTTGTATATACATCCTAGATACAGTGAATCACAAACTATATGTTCACAACATCCTCAGGTGATCCTTAAAAGATTCCTATAAGAACTGGAGGAAAATTCAATATGTGATTCCATATATTTGGGTTAGAAATGCCAGTTCAAAGCAAAAAGCCATAACAGAATGATCTAGTTCAAAGCAAAATCCCAAGCAAAATGTAGAAGACTGAGAAAATAGTCATTCAAACATGATTAGAGGTGGGTAAGGTTAAACAAAATGGTAGTTATTATTGTTCCTAGTGTTTCCCCATAGATGTTTTTGTTTTCCTCTTCCCTTCACATAATGTTAGCAGCCTTATGCTAACCCATGTAGAATTAACTCACAAACTGGTACCCCAGTCATCTGACCAGAGTACACATGGTATTCACTAATGGCCAGTAATAAGTTTTGAAAATACTTTGATCACACTCCTTGATCATGTCATAATCCAAGTATAACATATGTACAGGAATGTGCACATATCATAAATTAAAGATTCTCCCTAAGGGAGCACATATATGGAACCCCAGCTAACATTCACTTTTGTGAAGTACTTATTCAAGACAAGGCATCTACTACTGAGAGCTTTGGCACGGGAAGGAAAGATCCCAGAGAGAGGATGAAGTTCTTGCAGCTTACAATCCTCTCTTGTAATGGATTGAACTGTGTTGTCTCCTCGAAGATTGTGCTGTAAATCCTAAGCTCTGACTGTTGTTATAATCCCATTTGGGAATGGGTTGATAAAACAGAGTTCATCTAAGGTGTGTCTTAAATAAGTATTTTTGAGATATCAAAAACTCACTCACCACCAAAGGAAATGACTCACAGCTGTCCTTCCAATAGGTTTCTAAGGCTGTAAACTGCATGAGAGTGGAGAATCTTTCTTTCTGCTAAAGAGCTACTGGTGGGTCGGAACAAAGTTGTAGGCTTTACATTAGAAGAGAAAGAGCAAACAACTGAAGCAAGAATGGGTGACACGGTACATGAAGATCTCCAAGGAATCAAGAAACAGAAGCTCAAGAGACAAGGACCTTCCTCCACAAGAGAGAAAGACTTGCCAAGAGCTGGCACTGGCTAAAGAGTACTTAACAGTAAATTTCTGTTTGTTAACTCCCATATGTGCCATTTCTGTTCCAACAGTACTGGCCAACTAAGATACCTGGAAAATCAAGCAGTCATGGCAGTACATGGCAGCTCAGTCATTTCAAGGGACGTTTCCTACCTAAATGCTGTTTTACATGTTTTAACATGCAGTTTCAGGTATGCACATAAGCACATACCAAGAGCCTCGGGACAAAGTTGCCACAATGTGAAAGAAAAAGCTCAAGAGCACAAAGAATCTAAAAAACAAACTGTTACGTTAAGTCTCCTCATTCTGCAAGACATCAGAGTGTCTGTTCTTAAATAAATTATTTGGCTGTTTTTTTAGGCACAAGTGAATCTGGGAACTATTTATTTGACTTGGCTAAATGCAAACAGCAACCCTAACCCTAATGCTAACCTTCATACCAAATGTCCTCAAGGTAAAAATCTTAATTTCAGTCAGAAAATATTAATACTTCTCTTTTGAAAAACTAAGGGTGTACCTTCTTAATTCTAATGAAGGAACATGAAGAAATCAAAGCTTTGGGAAACGAATCTCCATTTTACGCTGCTGCCATATCTACATAATTAACAGAACATTCTCGAGCCATGTACCTTTTTTAAAATCTAGCTTAGCTGCTTTCTACGTTGGTGGTACTTGAAAACCACGTTTGGGAGGGCCATGGTTGAATGTCACCTCTAATCTTACTATTTTTAGTCATTGTTGATTTTCCAGGCTAAGAACTTCCATTTGGTTTCTAGGCACTTCAATTTATTTACCATACTGAGAAATTTTCTAAATCACATTGCATGGGTATTAAACTCTTATGCACTTAGACCTGAGCATAGAAATTAGCTTGCAAAGCCAGTTGTGACTCTCATTAAAAAACAGAAGTCAAGTTAACTATGTCATGGTCTGTGGATCCCATAGCCCTCATGTTTTCACACGAATTGTGTGACACTCAGCTCTTTAGTTCCTCAGCCCCAAGCCAGTCAAGCATGGGATTAACTGAGTCTGTTTGACATACTGAAAAGACAAAAAGATCTGAAATTTCTCATTCTTGTTGAAAACTCCCCCTAACTACATGGAGAGAAAACATCAGAATTACTTTCTCTGTTCATTGTTTATGACAGTGTGATAAATTATAATTGTTAGCTATCATCAGCTTAAGCAAAAATATTATTTTGGGAGGAGGAAAATCCTCTAACTCATTGATCTAAATAAAAAAAAAATCATGGATTAAAACAAATGACAAAAATATCCATTCCCCTTTTAATACAAAAGACCTCTCTGTCCATAATTAAATATAAGGAAAGAAAATTATTCTGTTCATTTGTTAAGTGAATTTATAAGGATTACTCTTATCAGAGCTACACTTATCATTGACATTTTATGATTACCCTTTAAAGGATAACCTACTAAAATGAAAGGAATCTGGCAATGTAACATTTTAAATCATGAAATATAGCATTGCTGCTTAGATTAGTTGTATCCAAAACTAC